ACTTACCAGCATATGGGGTCGGTTGTGCTGATGCTACACTCTGTGCTCTTTTGTACAGATCCAGGTATCGGACAACAACAGTAGTCAGGGAGCCATCCTTCAGTCCACGAGACTCCGAGGTAGCCTTGCTAGCGTCCGCAGGCCCGGCGTCTCTTCTATCAGTTTTCATGTTCTGTTGATATTTGTATTCGAGACAGACTATGTTCTTTATTTCAAACTCTTATTTGTTGTAATTCTATACAGTCCGTGTATGTTGTGACATCAGGTGCTGGGTAGAGACTTTTAACGGTTTTCTAGACGTTGTTTTTATATTTAGTTCAGAATTTCGCTAAATTTTATTTTCCGCTGTCTTTTAATTGCTTATTCATTAATAATTTAATTGTTTAATCATGTATAAAAACGAGATGGGGTAATAATTGCAAAGGTTCTTGGCTTGCCTAGCTTCCACGAGTAGGTGCCATCACGACTCTCGAGGGTGGAAATTCCGGGTCGTGACATGGGTTTAGAGTAAAACCTAGACTTTTGATAAAAACAAGATTTAACCACGAAATTCGTTATGGAATGAAGTAGAAATCATATATTTTTCATCCTTAAGTTATGGGTAACAACTTTCTTCGAAAATTTCCGGAATCCGGGCACGTAGGCCCAGGGATGAATTTTAGGAATCTTGCCTTTGGGGTTGGATAATTACTTTAATAGCTAGATTATGAACTTGTAAACCTATAATGAATGGTTTTTAAACTATTTGAATAGTTTCGGATTGTGCGGTTCCGACTTGAGGGTTTGAGCGCATTCTTGAGAAGGAAATAGCCCCGAAACGAGGTAAGTCTCTTTTCTAACCTTGTGAGAGGGAAATTTCCCCATAGGTGAACTTAATTAATATATGATTAATTGTGGGGGCAACGTACGCACGAAGTGACGAGTGTCCGTACGTAGCTACTATTCCTGTTATGTCCGGGTAGTTCTAGGCTTACACCATGCTTTGTGGGTACCGTTATATGATTATAAATTGTTAATTTGCATTGAATGAAACTTCGTTGAGAATGTCATGATTTCAAGGATTTCAAGTAAATATTTATTTTGAAAATAATTGAGGAAACATTTAAGTTGTATTTATACTTAACCGCGTCGCAAGTATATTCTGCGAGCATGGTGATTATTTTCACTACTCTCATGGGAGCGTGCCGTTTGCCTCGGCAGGTTGATAATTGTATATATATGGTTCGGGTTGTTCGACCCTCGGCAGTGCACAGTTTACTTTTATGTTGGTTCGGGCCGAACGTCTTCGGTGGTATTTGTGTGTAATAACAAAACCGGAACCCCTTATAATTCATATGAATAATTGCTTGAAAGATCACTTATTTTAAATGAAGAAAGTGCCTAAATTTATTGATTTGATGAAAGGATTTTCAGTATTATTCTTGTTTGGAGCTTGTTGTTACCTACGTACATTGTGAATTAAAATATTGAACATCATATTATTATATTTATTGACGTTAGTAAGTGTCAAGTCGACCCCTCGTCATTACTTTTTCGAGATTAGACTGGATACGTACTGGGTACATATTGTTTATGTACTCATACTACGTTTATGTACTTGATTGTACAGGATTTGAGGCAGGTGTATCTGGACATCAGTCCGGTGTGTAGAGTGGACTCCTTAGCTTGAGACTTCCAATGAGCTGCCCTTCTGAGCCATTCTGCAGCAGATGGAGTCTTTCCATGTCTTTACTTTTCCTATCTATTTCCTTTCTAGACAGTAGGATAGTATGGTTTTGTATATTCTACTAGATTGCCCACCTACTTGTGACACCACATCTTGGCACACACATTGGTAGACTTATGATTTTTGGATTACTATCATGAATTAAGTTCGTAATTATCACTTTCATCTAATTATGCTTAAGTATCAAACTCCTAATTTCTTTATCAGTAAGGAAAGATTTTCACGTACTAATTATTTAAATGAGGATTCACTAGTTGATTTGTGTTGGCTTGCCTAACAACGGTGTTTGGCGCCATCACGACCTAATGTGAAATTTGGGTCGTGACACCCTAGTCTTCCAAATCCTCCCGGCTTTAGGTTTGTATAATACGACGGCATTGAAGATCTGAAATTCCTGCTTCTTATCTTAGATTTCATTTTTCTATTTTGGAATTTGAGTTGGAATTAGAGAAGAGCGGTTTTTGGATGAAGGACGTAAGTGTGTAAAGATGCGGTTTGAAATACGGTGATAGTTGGATCGGTGGCCAGCCTTTTAATTAGTTTTGGGCTATAAAATGCATACTGCAATTTTGTGGCTAGCGGCTGATATTAGTTTCTAGTGGCTGGCCATAAATGAAGTTTGCTCTACATATTAAAAGTCCTCTGAAACCCACTAACATATGCAATTGTATATAGGTCCGCTAATCACTTATTTAATACACTTTTTTTTACTACTTTAGTATTTCACCTAATTGCTATAAATAAAATAAATTGTCAAATTTCACAATTAATAAACATATAAAAATATTTCGGGTTATTACAATTATGTTGAGAAAATTTTGAAAAAAATATAATTTTATTAATTGCAAGCATGTTATAACTCTTTTTTGATTCAAGTGTTCACTTATTTTCTGTACAAAGTGATAATGATGTGATAAATCAAAAGGAATATGCCAGCTTAATTGGAAGCTTGATATATGTGACTGATTGCACTTGGCCTGATATTGCATAATCAGTAGGAGTATTTAGCAGGTTTACAAGCAAGCCCGGTAATGAACATTGACATGCCATAACAAGTGTTATAAGGTATTTACTTGGCAGAAAAACCTATAGTTTATTTTATAAAAATATGTTGTTGTACTCGAAGACTTTTATGATGCATACTGAAATACTTTGTCTGGTGATTCCTGTTCTACTACAAGTTATATTTTTATTTTGTGAGGTGGTGCTATTTGTTGGAAATAAAAAAAAGCAACCAATAATTGCTAAGTCTACCATGGAGGCTAAACTAACTGCTTTAACTTCAGATAGTGAGGAAGCGAATTGATTGAGAGATTTATTATTTCAAATTCCTCATTTTGAAAACCCAGTTCTTCTTATTTTAGGATTTATTTTGATAGCACCGCTGCTATTGGTAGTGTACAAAACTATTATTATAACGGTAAATCCAGACCCATAAAGAGAAAATACAATATTGTGTGATATTTGAAAAGTGGTAATATTGATATTGATTATGTGATAATTTTACAGATCTACTAACCAAGGCCTTGGCACATCGAGAGGGATGTGATTGAAGCCCATAAACTCATAAGTCATATATGAGGAAACCTAACCTGGGGACTAGAGATCCTATAACCGGGTTCAATAGGAAGAACAAATCATACGATGGCTTGGTTTGAAATGCATTATTACTATTATTGTTCCATCCTTATAGTGTGAATGCATTTATCCTGTAATGATTTGTGAGGTTGAGTTTTATTAACTCTTAATGAGTATCTGTAGCTCGTATGAGTGGGGCGTTAGAGTTACAGGAGCACCCTTGACAGATTTCACCTATGTGAGTGTGGAAGTATGCCACTTCTTATGAGAATTGGGCTTATTCTCAAAAGCACTCATAATAACCTGGATAGCACAAGGTCGTAATATGCTGCTAATAAAGCTCATATCAACACCTTGATTATTATGTGTAAGCAGTGATACTTTATTTTCCTAAAGTAGTCATAGTTCAAGTCAGAGACCACTACTGACTCTGGAGTAGAGAGCGTTGTTTTACTAAGTGAAGGTTTAATATAGAACACACCTTCATTATACATAATAGTCTCCCTTCAACTAGTAATTTTCTTATTTTAATATTAAAATGAGTGGGGGAATGTTGGTGTTAGTGCATTTTAATATTAAAATCACTAATGCCATGATCTACCACTAATTACCCACTTAAGATTAAATTTTGTAACCACCAACCATGTTCTATAATTTTATTATCCTAGTACCTTACTATTTATTTCATGAAAGAGATTCTACACCTATAAATAATGATGTTTCTTCCTTATGTTTGGAAGGGGAAAATTTGGTAGTATGTATGAAAAAAGTTAACTTGGTATTGTGAAAAAGAGAATTAAGAGAAGGAGAAAATCTAAGTCTCCAACTTATTCTCGACAAAAGAGAATATTATTTCTGTTGCAGGAAGGTGTTCATTTTGGTGGAGCTTTGAACTCAACAACTTGTCCCGAGTTTGTTCGAGTCATACGACATTGTCGGGCTGTTGTACCTGGAGAGGACAAGTAAACAGTATTACTGCTGGACTGGTGAAGATACTACTGCAGTGGGCTTGAATCTCCTTAAAGAGAGCGAGATATCTGCGCCTTAGCCTGAAGAATATTTACTTATTTTTTTTATCTTATTTTTCAACTGTAATTACTTGTAATTTCACCCACAGTTCTTTTCCTTTTCTACTATACATTTCTTCTCTTTTATGTTTTTATCAAGTTTTTATTCTCTTTCTCCTACTCCTAAGAGTAGATTTTAATTTATATTGAATTTTGTATTTTAACATATTTAAATTATCAGGTAAACAATAACATACACTCAATTTTATTGCTTTGGAATAACTATATTATATTAAGTAGAATTTTTAGTTTATATTTTTACTTCACGTTTTTATTGAATTCTTTTATAATGAATATTTAAATTTATTTATTTTCTCTAAATTATACTAATAGCAAATAGTATTTTTTTTAAAAGATTGGTCAAACACAATGAGTTTCAAAAAGCATTACTCAAACGTATTGGCCAAACACAAACTGTTACTTTGCAAAAGTATTTTTTCAGAAAGTGCTTTTAAACAAAAGCACTTTTCAGAATAAGCAATTTTTGACAGCTTGGACAAACGGACTCTTGTTGTTAAAACAAGGACTAAAATAAGAATTAAGCAATAATCTAGGGATTCAATCCCCAATTTATTTTTAATGGGTAAAATTTAAAAGGCCTATTTTTTCTTTATTTTGGGTAAAAGGTCATTTAGCTAACCCGTAATAGGAACCAAAAAAAAACCTTTGCCTAACTGGTCTTGGTTTGCTAAACGGCTCAACTTCTAGTCACCATTCTCATTATTTGCTAAACAGAAATCTTTCTCTTGCCTTTCGTAATTCTATAAATATGGTGTCTGCTGTTAGAGACTTTTCCGGTAAATTTTCTTCCAATAATCGGTAAAAGTATGTGCTTATTTTGCAGAATATAATGTTCATGATCCCTGTTGTCAGCAGGTCGAATGATTTTGCCGTTGCTGGCATTGGGAGGAATTGCTTTTGGGTTAAAGTATTATGGGTTTTGGGGGAAAAGACCAGCAAGGAAAGTTGTAATGTTAATGGAAAAAGAAAAAGACAACAATTCAACTGATCAGGTATGTGCATAATCTGTTTTTGATGGTGCCTTATGATGTTGATTACTCAGCAAACTCCCCTGCCTCTTAGGGATATCAAAATTTCCTCTTCTTATAGCATTACTTTTTACAGTACTTTTCAGTATATTATGTGATCATAATTTGTAATTAGGAGCCCACTATCGAGATTATTAGCCTGTTTGGCCTAGCTTCTAAAATCCGTGTTTTTCTCAAAAGTACTACTCAAAAGTACTTTTCAAACTTCCAAATACAAACTGTTTTCTTACCAAAAGTGCTTATAAGTGTATTTTTTCTCAAAAATATTTTTTAGAAAAGTGCTTTTTGGAGAAAAATTACGTTTTATGCTTATCGAAACTGTTTCTGTTTCTCCCCAAAAGCATTTTTTTCTTTCCTTGACCAAACACCTTAATTTTGAGAAAAAAAGACACTTTTGCCTTACAAGAAGCTTAGCCAAACATGCCATATATATTTGAGAGTATCTCTCAATATTCGTTTTTACATATTACTACTAGATATGGGGATTATAATGCAGGGATTGTTTGTGCAGTTATTAATAATGAATGGATCATTATGGCGTTGATTAATAATGAAAAGATTGTTATACATGAATAACTTATTGTTTTAAGGCAATTTTGCATTTAAATATCTTAATACTTGCATTTAGGGGTGGACATTCGGTACTTCGGTTCGGTATTTAAAAATTTCGGTTCGGTATTCGGTTTATCAATTGTGTATACCAAATACCGTACCAAAATATTTCGGTACGGTTCGGTATTTCTTATTTTGGTTCGGTACGGTTTCGGTATGGTTTCGGTTTAAACCAAATCTTCACTGTCTAGAGCTCCCAGCTGAAACATAATAGAGGATCATTTTGATACAATTTCAGCGTTTTCCTACTCGTTACTACATAAACATCTCAGTAGGAGAATTCCATGAATCGCATCAACAGATTGCAATCATAAGAGAACGTCTCCAATTCATTGTTGATTAATGTATCAGAATCAGTATTGATCGTATAATTATTATCCAGCGGGACTTTAGACTCAGGGTTGATCGTAATATTATTACCCAGCGGGACGTTTTCGTTTGAAATAGTGTTAGGATTCAAGTCCGGATTATCAGCAGGGATTGATGATTTGGATCGAGAGGTACGTTGAGCAAAGTCGATAGCAACGAATATGGAAGATTTCTGGGAGTTTGAAATAAGGAGGAAAGTAACGAAGATTAGCAAAAGGAAAAAAGAGAGGATGAATGGGTATTTGCGTTGCTTCAAGATATCTTGCATGGACGATGAAGTTGATGATATAGCCATTTTTTTGGATAGAAAATTCTGTGTCTGTTCTTTTGTGTTCTCTCTGGCCAGAGAGATGAGGGGAAAAAAACGATGACGTGAAAAAATGCAATGCTAATTCAGCCTATGCGAGAGAGTCGAGGTCGAGAGAGAGAGAGTCAAAAGTCCAAAGGAACAGATTGCAACCGTACATGAACAAGTGCAAGCTTAGCAATGCAAACATGCTGCACACATTGCACAATACACATTGCACTATTTCGGTATTTCGGTATACCGAAATACCGAAATATCAAAAACCCAATACCGTATACCGAACCGAATTACCGAAATACCGAAATTTCTGTACCGAAATAAACCGAAATACCGAAAAAACCGAAACCGAAATACCAAATTAATTAGGTTCGGTTCGGAATTAGGTTTTTCGGATTTTATGCCCACCCCTACTTGCATTGCTAATACACTTAGTGGTCCTTTGATTGAATGTATTAGGGAAAATAATATATGTATTGGCTTTAGTATTATTAATCCCTGGTTTGGTAGTGTTTTTCAACCTATGTATTACTAATACATTGTATTAGTTATACACCATATTTAGTACTATTCTTATATATAGCAAACCATGGCATTAGCAATACCATGGTTTTTAATACATGAATAAGCATATATAAAGATAGAACCGCCCTTTCAAAACGTTTTCCAAATCCTTTCCAACATTTTTGGAGGATATTTTGGTGAAAAAACAAGTTTTTAAAAAAATCATGGAATGCATGTTTAATACACCAAACCTCACAATCGATAAAAAACCAACATAACTAATCACAGTATTACTAATCTCAGCATTACAATACACCCTATTCAATACCATTCTTATACATCATACCAAACGACCCCTCAATTAATACAGGTATTACTTTATATCTCAATTTTGTGATGCTAGTCCACTGAAAACTTCATGGCAACCAACAGGGTAAAGTCAATTTTGTTTTTCCTTCTTGTTTCCATAAGAGTTTTGTTGTTAGGGTGAATCAGTTGTAGAATTTACGTGTTTGATAAACAAAGAGCAGAAGTTAGGGTAGAAGGTTAAGGTAGTCGGTTTCTTAGGTTATGGTAGAAGGTTAGGATAGAAGGTTAGGTTATGTTTTTCTTATTATTAGATTGCTAAATTTACGAAGTTATGACCTTTGATAGGAATGTGTGGAGGTCGAGAATTAAGGTAGAAGGCTAGTAGGTAGTTGAGAGTATTCCTTTTACATATCAATAGTATTAGTGTTAGTCTGGTGTTATACTATTGTTAGATTTCTAGTACTACGTGTTGTTTCATCTTTCCTTGAGTCGAGTCGAGGGTCTTTCAGAAATAACCTCTCTACCCTCCAGATAGGGGTAAGGTCAGCGTACATACTACCGTCCCTATACCCCGCTTGTGGGATTATACTAGGGTTGTTGTTATTGGTGTAGATTGCTAATTTTACATGTTGTTTCCAATTACCTTCTGCGTCGGTTTCTTGCTATCTTGCGGTGATCAATGCTTGTTGCTACTGTTTTCTTCCGTCTATGTTGCGCGCACTCTCCAAAATGCTGCGTCACCCGTGTCGGATCCTCAAAAAATACACTACTTTTGGAGGATCTGACATGCATCCAAAGACATCTTTGAAGAGTCCGAGCAACATAGCTTTCCGTCTATTTTCTGGTTCTTAGTTTTCTATTACTAGTTACTATCTTTCTGGCCCTTGTTGTTGATACTTCTTTACTCTCTTTCCATATTCTTTGAGCCGAGGGTCTATTGAAAACTGCTTCTCTACCCTCCAAAGGTACGGGCAAGGTCTGCGTTTACACTACCCTCCTCACATCCCAGTTATGTAACTTCATTGGGTCTGATGTTGTTGTTGATAAACAAACAACAGAACAGGACATGCTTCATATGATATGAAAAGGTGACAGTTTTGTTTAAAAAGAAATGGCATTGAGTGACTTGGAAGCCTTTTGTGCTGTGCAATTGAAAATGATTATTGTCCAAAAGAAAAAAGAATTATATTATGCAGAAATTTATGTTGAGATTAATTATTCCAATACATCAACTAAACGATCCCACAATAGGCTTCAATCTATTTTGCTAATCAAATTTAAGTTTTAATCAATTATTTTTTGGGAACTACTTTCTTTTTGCTTTAATTTTACTACTTTTTTTTTCCACAACTACTAATACAAAGTATAAATCAAACTAATGTAATTTTGTGCGGAGTATGGACAAGCGTGTATTAAAGAATTATACTACAATTGAATACTGAATTTCACTCCTTTTGCTTTAGGAGTGAGATCTCACCCCCAATATTTACTGTAAGCAGAGATTATACGCACGCACTTGCTCAAGATGATAATTGGGTAATCAACTCCCAAGAAACGTTTGAAATAATTTAACAAAGAGTTATAATTATCTTAGAATTTGATTTGTTGAACTTTTTTTTTTGAAGGAAAAGGATACTTATATTAATAATAATAAAAAACAGTAGCAAGTACTAGGGTACAAGACCCATAGTAGTGCCATTAGTACAGAGTTGTGCAATGCCATATAGGGCATTGTCATTTCCTAGAGATGCTAGAGTGCCGCATGCATTCATACTACATGACTTAACATAGTTAAAACCTTCCTGATCCTTACAATAGACATTCATTGCAAAGGTAGGTGGTGCTACAAAATAAAGAGTTTTATTATAACTTGATTTGTTGAACTTATTTACTCATGGCCTTTTATTAAGTGAATAAGATGGATGAATAGAGGTGCTTTCTTTTTTCTCTTTTTCCTTTCCTCTCTTTTTTTGTAGTGAACTAGATTCTCTGCCTCTTATTTTATAGCTTATTCCGAAAAAACAAAGCAAATAAGACATCAAAACTTGGGAGAAAAATAAAGGAGTAGGAAGAGTGAGGAGAAATCCAAAACAACCACTCTACCTTCACAAGGTAGGGGAAGATATGCGTATACACTGCCTTCTCTAGGCCCCATTTGTAGGATAAAACTACTTTTTTGTTGTTGTTGTTGAAGAGTGAGGAGAAATTTGTGACCAGAGGTTGCAATTTGGGAACCAAAATAATGTTATTGCATGACAGATTTTTCTAGGAAACTCGGGTCCAGTACTAATAAATTGGTTTCGGATAAGTGAGTCTTTTCTTTTTGTCTTTCTAGTCATAGTGATTTTCTTTTAAAGTTTTTCTGCGGGCGCTTGTAATGCAATTAGGTTCATGATGCAAAGGAGGATTACTTCAGTCAGCTACCAGACGATATTTTGCCTTCCATTCTCGCACATTTGCCGATACACGATGCTGTTAGGACGAGCGTTTTATCTAGAAGGTGGAAATATCTCTTCGCTTCTATGCCTAGATTAAACCTCAGATGCCTTGACATGTCGGGGGTCTACTCTGCCAATCACAGTTGTTGCCCTTGCTGTCAACAGAAATTCTTGAAAGGAGTAAATAAGATATTACAACTTTATTCAGGTCGTACAGTGGCTCATATTGAGATGGTCTTTTGCTATGGAAGAAAGCTTCCTACTGAATTGGACCAATTGATGTGTTCTATTTCAAGACTAGGTGTCGAAAGATTACGTCTTACCTTTCATTCTTACAATAAGTCGATACCGTTTATATTTTCTTTGGAGCTTCTCTCTCAAACATCCTCATTGAAACATTTGTTTTTAAACAATTGCATTGTGCAACCAAGCATCAAAGTCAACTTCCTCCGGACCCTTACTTTGGAGCGTGTATTTTTACCAAAGGAACGATTTGAGGCTATTTTATCCTCTTGTTTGAACCTTGAGCAGTTAACGCTTAAATTTTGTAGTCTTCCTGGTAAAATATGCGTCTCCGGTGCAATAAAATCTCTTGTTTTTTTCAATTGTGGAGTAAAAGAAATTGATCTTCAGGCTAGAAATCTTTGTATGTTTAAGTGTATCGGTTTTGGAAAAGTAAGGTTTTATTTCTCTTTTGTTCCCGCATTGGCATATGTAATGATTGATCTTCGTCAAACCGAGTCAATGCCATACATATTTGGTGATTTTGCAAGAGATTTACCTGCGCAGATTGAAATTTTAAAGGCCGGAATTGGTCCTCTTGAGGTATTTGAAAATGCCTAATTTTTCTAATTTCTTCGTGTGTATTTGTCTTTCTGAAGACCTTAATATCTTTTATGTTCTTCTTTTCAGGTAAAATACTTTCAAAGAGAGACGGAGATCTTCAGAAACCTTAGGACGCTACATTTGGTGCTTGTGGACACTAACGACTTTGATATAGTCAAAATTTCCCCTATATTGCGCTTCTGTCCTCTTCTTCAATATTTGATTTTAGACGTGAGTTATCCATATTCATCTTTTTTTTTTTCTTTTGTATTTTTTTTGGATATTCATATCCGAGTGTTATCTTCAGACGGTGCAGTTGTTTTGAATTTATCTTTTTACATCCCTTTATTTTGGGAGATGTGCCTGATTTGCTATGTATGATTTTTTTTGTCCAATGCAACTTGTTTTAACTACACTAGTCGTTGTTATATTCATTGAACGATATGTTGATCTCAGATAAAGATGACAAGATGCAGTGCAGATATACCTGATTCGCCTCTTATTATATCACCTACATGTCACACTGAGCTAAAAGAAGCGGGGTTTCGTGGATTTCATGGAACAACTGCAGAGATTGAATTTGCTTTATACATTCTGAGAAGTGCCATGGTACTTGAGCGATTGATTCTCAGCCAACGGGTTAGGTGTTATTCTGGTTTTGGCAAATGGGAGAACACGTTTGTTTCGTTTGATGAAACAAGACAGAGCTCTATCCAACGACAACTACATGGACAAGCTATCTCTACGAAAGCTGTGGTGGCTTTCGTTTGAATTTGCTTTCTACTTTCTGTATTATTGGGACTTGCCCTTTCCTTTCTTTGTTCTTGATTAGATGAGTCGGTTCAGTTAGTTTTACGTCAGTAAGTCTTTTATTCGTAAATAGATAAATAAGTTCGATTTAGTTTAATTTGATTTAAAAATTTAACTTCTCTTGTACAAGTAAATTGCAAAACAAAAAATAAAAACCAATAACTCTTGAAAGAGCGCTTCCAAACACAGATAGTTTGCTAAAAAGTAACTTTATTTCCACAAATTCTTCATTTGACTAGATTACTTTACCTTCCTTGAGTTAGTTTTCGATCATATTTATCAATTTTATGACCATTTTTTGCACAATGAAGTCTTCAACTTTTAAATCTTTGTGAATCAACTCAAAACGTCTAGTAAACAATCCATTTCGATCTTTCAAAGCCAATAAAATATTACTCAAATTATACACAAATAGATCAATGTCGCATCATTACAAAGAGAGAAAAAGTATGTTAAACTAAGATCAATTCAAATTATTTATCAAAGTAGGATTTATATGAAGTAAACTTTAATTGTAGAAACAAAAGGATGGGTGGTTTGTAAATAAATTTACAATAAAAAGATGAAGAAGAAGAAGAAAGAAAATAAAAAGATACATACATATAATGCATAGAGAGATAGAGAGAGAGAAAAATAGCAACAATGGAGAATAAAAAGGAAGCAAACCCTACTTCCAATTAAGAGGTTGTGAGTTCGAGTTATCCCAAGAGCAAGGTGGGGAATTCTTGGTGGAAAGGATGCCGAGGGTCTATTTGGAAACAGCTCCCACTAGTGAGAGTATAGTGGGTTGTTGTTGTTGTTGGAGAATAAAAAGGAAGAAAGTGAAGTGAGGTTATAGAGAAATAAAGGGTGCAACAATGGAGAATAAAATGGAAGAAAGAGAAGTGAGGTCTTAGGGAAATAAAGGGTTGCCAGGGTGTCTACGCGTGGATTCGAATTCGGATATAGAAAATGAAGAATTGTAGCGTCCTCGAGAACCAATGGCACCCAAAGGTACTTTGTGCATTGCGGGTGCCACTTAAGATATTACTTATCTGCTTTTTTGCACATATTTATGTACATGCTCAGAATTTTTGCCGAAGTGTGACGGGTGGCGTACCACCCTATCACATAACATAGATCCGCACCGGACGAAAAAACAAGGAACCACAAACTGAAACGTTTCAGATGCTTATCCAACTAATTACGCCCACTGTGTGAGGTGTCGATCGTTGTAGGGTACAACAACAAGAAATTCCTCACAATCTTATTCTCCTTTTTTTTTTCTTTTCCCCTCAATCTTATTGTCCTGTTTGATTCAGTACTTTTCCCTCCAGAGATATATCAACAGAAGGCCAACGAGAGGTTTTAAAAATGAGAAAAGTGCTATGGCATTCAAAATCCAATACCTCTACAAATCATGGCACCATTTACCAACATCAACAACAACATCATCATCGAGAATATAATGATCAAAATGGTCCCTAATTGTATGGACTTTGGATCCATTTGATTCCTCATATATAACACCTAATGAAAAAGGCACATGATGTATCCCAAAATCAGATGATCTTGGTAAATAGCCACTTTTAGGTCGGTTATTAGAGCTTAACTATATTTTTTAAATTGTAATGCCACTGATCCGATTAAGTTGATGTGCTTGCCCTCAACTAGAATATGGAAAAGAACTCCAATAATCGGTACTGGAGATCGAAACTTTGACAAGTGGAATGTATGCTGAAATTTTCAAAATTCAGCAATTTGAACTTTTACTAGTGCAAAATCCAGAATCTTTCATGGTTTTTGAATTCACATTATACTTCAGCAATTTTAACTTTAAATACAAAATCCAGGAACATTTACTAATTTTTGAACCTTTAATAGTGCAAAAACAGAAAAATTTAGGAGCAATTTATGATTTTTTAATTCACATTATACTTCAACAATTTTTAACTTCAAACAAAAAATTCTAGAACAACAAAATCCAGAAAAACTTACTGATTTTTTTTTAACCTTTACTAAAGTAAAATCCAGTAAAATTTAGGGACGATTTTCTAATACAATCTAAAATATGAGAATGCTCTAATAGCCAACCTAAAAAATGGCTAACCCAGATAATTTCTCCCCAAAAGCTAATAACTTGGGTCTTAAGTGACAGCACCTAATGTGATGACCCAAAAGGTCATCTTATGTTTTAGAACTCGATTTCATGTTACGAGGCCTTCAAAACCTTATTTTATTCCTCCTCGATTTGCGTGCGCCGTCCGGGTGCGTTTTCGAGAAGCTTTTATGTGAAAAATTGATGAAATAATAATTTAAGGTCTAAAAAGTTGATTTTTGTTGACTTTGGTCAGCGTTTTGAGTAAATGGATCCGGACCCGTATTTTGACGGCCCCGGTGGGTCCGTGGTAAAATATGGGACCTGGGCGTATGCCCGGAATCGAATTCCGAGGTCCGTAGCTCGAGATATGAATTTTTGATTAAAATTGAAAGATTAAAAATATAATGGTTTAAAGAAATTTGGTAATGTTTGATCTTGTTGGTATCGGGTCTGTATTTTGGTTCCGGAGCCCGGTACAGGTCCGTTATGATATTTATACACTATTTGTAAAATTTGGTAAGAAACAGAAATGATTTGACGTGACTCGAACGTCCGGTTGAGAAGTTAGAAGTTTTAAAACTTTCTTGAAAATTTCATTCAGTTTGGTGCTAAATTCGTAGTTCTAGGTGTTATTTTCGCGATTTGACCTCAAGAGCAAGTCCGTATGATGTTTTTAGACTTGTGTGCATGTTTGATTTGGAGCCCCGAGGGCTCGGGTGAGTTTCGGATAGGCTTCGGGATGTTTTAGACCTAGGAAAATTATGGTTTTTTGCAGCTTCAGCACTTGCTGGTTTTCTTCTTTGCGTTCGTGAAGCTTCTCACGCGAACGCGAAGTGTAAGCAGGGTTGGGGATGGATTTGTTCTATGCGAATGCGAGGCTTCGATCGCAAACACGGAGAACTGGGGGAGTTTGCTCTTCGCGAATGCGACCGGCTTGACGCGAACGCGTAGTGTATTGGAGGTGGGCTGGGAATCATCGAGTCGTTCTACGCGAACGCGGGCCTAGGCTCGCGAACGTGAAGGTCAGGGGGAACAGACCATTGCGAACGCGAAGGCCTTTCTGGGCGCTGTGCATCGCGATCGCGATAGGTCTCTCGTGAACGCGATGAAGACCTGTCCAGTGATTTTCAAGACAGAACAAACCGCCCGGTCGTGAAGCTTATCCAGGAGATATTTTTTATTTGCATTCACGCCTTTTGGAAAGACCGCCCTTCCTTATTATAGGAGTAACTTTCCGACTCTACATGCATGTAGAGTGAAGTGATTCAAAACGGGACTCCTTCCCAAATTTCATATTTCATCACTAGAACTCGACCTAGGGCGATTTTTGAAGAGGGAATTGAACACCAAATCATACATTTGCACTCTTTAACTCGTTTTCTTTAATTTCCATCATCAAGCATTGAATTCCTAGTCCTAAATCTTGTTCTTTAAGGGTAGAAAATTAGGGATTTTGGGAGAATTGAGGATTTTGCAAATTTGGGAATTTAGACCTCGATTTTGGGTCGGATTCCTGAACTAATTACATATTTGGGCTCGAGGGTGAATGGGTTTTGGTCCGAACCTCGAGTTTTGATCAAGCGGGTCCGGGGTCGTTTTTTGACTTTTTGGGGAAAATGTTGGGAAACTTATAATTATGCATTGGAATTAATTTCTTTAGCGATAATTGATGTTATTAAGTTAATTATGACTAGATACGAGTGGTTTGGAGGTGGAAACTAGAGGAAAAGCGGTAATTGAGCAGTGAATGGCCTGTGGATCGAGGTAAGTGTTGTGTCTAACTTTGACTCGAGGGATTAGGGGTGCTCGTGTGAACTTGTTTTAAAAGAAAATTCTGCATTCTGAGGCCTTAAAAACCTCTTTTAGCATCACCTCGATTTGCGTGCGCAGTCCGGGCGCGTAGCCGGAAAGCCAATATGTGAAAATTTGTGAAAAATGATAAATTTTGACTATAAAATGAATTAAGTTGACTTCGGTCAACTTTTTGGGTAAACGGACCCGACCCCTGATTTGACGGTCCCGGAGGGTCCGTAGGAAAATATGGGACTTGGCCGTATGCCCGGAATTTAATTCCGAGGTCCCAAACCCGAGAAATGAATTTTTAAAGAAAATTATTTTCTGAAATTATTTATTAGATTTGGAAATGAATTGTGATTAGAACTTGATGTTATCGGGCCTGTATTTTGGTTCCGGCGCCCGGTACAAGTCTTATATGTGATTTAAGATAAGTCTGTGTAATTTTGTAAGAAACGGACTTGAAATGACGTGAATCAGATCATTTTTGGAAAAATTGGAAATTTGAAGTTCTTAAGAAAATTTCATGAATTTGATGCTAAAATTCATAGTTGTTGATGTTATTTTAGTGATTTTAATGCATGAGCGAGTCCGTATGATGTTTTTAGGTTGGTGTGCATGTTCGGTTTGGAGCCCCGAGGGCTCGGGTGAGTTTCGAATAGGCCACAGGGTGGATTTTAGACTTGGTGAATTGCAGGTTTTTAGCTGGTGTGTTCAGGCCTGCAGTCTTCGCATTTGCGAAGCCAGGCTCGCAAATGCGAAGGCTGAGTCGCAAATGCGAAACAGCCCAGGCCAGCTCTTCCTCGCAAATGCGAGATTTCCTTCGCAAATGCGATGCACCCCTCTTGGGCCCGTTATCGCAAATGCGATCTTTTGTTCACATTTCCCATCTCGCAATTGCGAGAATCCTTTCGCATTTCCCAACTTAGCAGAGATCGGGGTTCGCAATTGCGAACCCTATTCGCATTTCCCATACTTGCGACCTACAAATTTTATACTTAGCCGAAAATCAACTATTTTTCACATCTTCTCAAAACATAAACTCCCTAGGGCATTTTTTCAAGAACAACTCTTCTTCCAAATCAATTGTAAGTCAATTTCAACTCGTTTCCTTCAATCATTAACATCTTTTAACATGATGTCAACTCAAAATCAATGATTTTCATAGGGGAAATTGGGTGTTTTGGGTAGAATCT